CACTGAGGGTCAAGTGCATTGTAATCCTTCTGGTCTGGGGAGTGTCCTTGTGTGTGCGTATGTTCCTATATGTACCCAGTTTTACTAAACCCCCAGTAACACTGCCCACGCTGTTCTGGAAACAGAGTTGCTGAGAATCTGGCCCTTTCCTCCTATTGTACTTGGATGCAGGAATTCCTCTAAAAACATGCTGCACACTGAGCTGCCTGCCCAACAATTCAGAGAATGCAAGGTACAATGACTATAATTGTGCAGTAGCAGTTTCTTGGACACGGTAATTTAAATCCTCTTGACTTACAGGGTAAAGGGAATTGTGTCAGGGAGAAAGGAAAATTCCAGAAAGAAGAGAAAGATAACTTGTCTGCATTTTCAGAGATAAAAGTCCAACACTCAGCAATACAGGCACCAGCTTGGAGATAACTATTGCCTGGGAATATTAAAACAATTAGCCAAATAAAAGCCTCTGCTACTTCCTCAGCTGCACGCACGGCACCATTCATACCGTGCATAACACACAGCGAATGTGTGAACGGGCTTATTTCCATTTCAGCACATGAATCAAAAAAAGTATTTGCAGGCCAGATGTCGCAGGAGCGCGGCACCAGCATGGAGTCCGCTGTGCTGCAGCTTTAACGAGGCATTACTGAGATGCCGTAGGTATGGCATGACATGGAAGAAGTGTACGCAAGCGGAAGAGAAATTGATTTAGGGAGACATGAAGTTGCATAACATCAATGCTTGCTACAGGACATTTATTAACTCTGAAAAGATGATAAAAGAAACAATAGATTAGCTCTGTGACCCTGCGATGATTTCATTTCCATGCAAGAGAAACATCGTTTGCTTAGGGGTTTTTTTCCTGTTCTCATGGGTTCCATTTCATAGATGAATCAAAAGTATTTAGATCATAGAATCACTGAATGTGCTAGGAAGTACCTTAAAGACTGTCTCATTCCAACTCCCCTGCCACAGGCAGGGACACCTCCCACCAGCCCAGGTTGCTCCTGACCTTGAACTCTTCCAGGAAAGGGCTTTCACATCTTCTCTGGGCAACCTGTGACAGGGTCTCACTATCCTCATAGAAAATAATTTCTTCCTAATATCTAACCTAAAACTATCCTCTTTCATTTTGAAACCATTACCCCTCATCCTATCCCTACACTCCCTGGTAAAGAGTCCCTCCCCATCTTTCCTGTAGCCTCCTTAAGTACTCAGAGGCTGCTATAATGTCTCCAAGGAGCCTTCTCCAGGCTGAACAACTCTCTCAGACTCCTCATAGGGAAGGTGCTCCAGCCCCCTGGTCATCTTTATGGCCCTCCAGCATCGGGAGCCCACATTGGCTTTCCTACCAGATGCACTCCTGGAAAACCTCTCAATGAGATCAGGCAGTGCACTTCAAGCTCTGTGTGTCTGGGAGCTGGGCTTACACAGTCTTTAGTTAAGAATGCTAGATGAAAAATAAAAACAAACAACTCTTTCCTAGACTAATAGACATAAGGAAAAAAAACAAAATTAATTCTCTACCCACTCCCATTGCAGAAGCCAAACAGTCTGTTCCGGTAGGATAGTGCTTTCATAATTACTTCCATTTTCCTCCTTAGTCCACTAACAAAAAAAGCCCATTTTGATTGAAAACTGCATGTTAATGTAACTTCAACAGCAGGTCTTCAGCAGACTTGCTGTAGACTGGCCTTCATGAAATTTCCACCAGAACATGCACACTTTAGCTTGAATTAAAATTCAGACATCACTGTCTTAACATTCTCAGAACATCTCTATGTCTTCTTTCCTTTCCTAAAATGGCTACTGTCACCTACTCCCTAAAACAAGCAGATCATTAATGTGAGCTTATATGACAGCTATTGCTTCTTACAATGCCAAAAATCATTAAAGTTTCCCAAATAATTCTCTGCTGGTGCCCATTTCCAAGTGGTTCTCTGCTCCTTTATACTTTCTTTGGACAATTAAGTAGAAATAGAGCAAGTACTCCATGCTCAGAGTCCCTGGACAGGTACGACACCCCTCACACAGCACCTGGAATGTGATTTGGGGTGCCAGTGAACCCAATGGGGCTGGATCTAGGTCTTTATGGTGTCATGAAGACCCCATCAGAAATCAAGAGTGCTCTTAGCCCACCCATTACACACCAGGGTGCTCTGCAGGTGATCGGGATGGTTTGTAACTATTTCCTTCTCCTCTAGCATATATATAAACTGATAGGAAAGATCAACTGAAGTTCATGTGATTCCTCTCTCTCAAGACACACCACTTGATGAACACTGACATAACGAACATGAGTTTGGCCACTGGCCAGAAGGGGTCCGTGACCACCCCCCAAACATTCCGATGCTGCATATTTTGGAAGAACAGGTATGCAAAGTATTGATGCAGCCTTCACTGGGGATGAAGTTCCAGCCAGGTACTTAAGTGCCTTCCTGTGGCAAAGTCAAAGTTTTGATGAATTTGGGCTTCTAATTGGACCAATTTTCTTCTCCACCATGCAAAAGGGCCAGACAGGGGATGCACAGCATCACTCTGCAAATGCAAATGCAACAGCTCTTGACCTTAAGGATTAGCCACAGGGAAAGCATAAGCTGCATAAAGAGGAAGATTCTTTAAATTGAAAATGCAAATGCACTTTCACAGAATGAAGAACATTTATCTTGGCTGGAAATTTTGATTTAACTGAAAGTACACCCAATTCACTTATTCTATTATTTCAGAATAAAATATGAGAAAAGTGAAGGTTAATGAATCAAGGTAATGAATTATAACTGAGTCAGAAGAAAAACCTTCCAGCAGTGAGACACCATCCTGACACCAAGACACCATCTCATCCTTTTCTTTTCTTCCTCCTCTAGTTAAGCTCCTTGTCCTTGTCCCCAACACAAAAGCAAATTCTACACTCATAGAATCACAGAATGGTTTGGTTTGGAAGGGACTTTAAAGATCATCTCATTAGGGACACCTCCCACTAGACCAGGTTGCTCAAAGCTCCGTCTGACCTGGCCTTGAACACTTCCAACAGAGTGGGTAGCCACAACTTCTCTGGGCAAAACTCCTCTACTTACTGCTCCTCTCTTCAGCCTCTTTCACGTGGAACATATCCTTGCACTTGCTTCCAGGAGGCAGAAAATGTCTATTTATTATTTGTGTAAATATTTACTGCTTCCTGAAATGTCACTATCAGCCTTCCAATAACCTACAGTGAGAAACTGTCCAGGTTGGACATTAACCAGTCATTGTCCAACACGAACTCAGAGCTTCTGAACAACGTGTTTGCAACTGAACATGTAATGCCCAGGTGTGAGACTGCTTAAGCATCTATATTTCTCAAGTATGACTTCTCTTTGCCAGCCACCAAGAAGGCTTCTTCACAAAAAAAACCCAAGTCAAACATTCAAAGGACATTCAAAACCCATTTGGACATGTTCCTCTGTGATCTACCCTAGGTAATCCTGCTCTAACAGGAGTGTTTGGACTTGATGATCTTCAGAGGTCACTTCCAATCCCTACTATTTTGTCATTCTGTGAGGCTGCAAGTGAGTAAGGGGCTAACCCCAATAATTACATGTTTGTATCATCTTATTTATTAACTCACAACCTAAATTCTCAATTTCTTGCAGACGCCGTTACTCACCAGTGAGACCTGAACTAGTTCTGGTTCTGTACTCACTCAACAACGTACCTGGTCTTATGTTTTCTTTGTCTTGACAACTACGAAAAATTAGTCCTGCTCTTCAGGAAACTGAGTGCACTCCAGGAAAAGGTTTGGCTGTTTTGTAATTTGCTGACTTAATATTGAGAATTGGCCCTTAAACAAATAACGAATTGCCTATACGACATAGTGTTTACAACCCAGTGTTTACAGCTGGGTTTAAGTCTCTGATCCACGTGCCTGAATGAAGCTGTCTGGAGCTGTATGAGTTGCCAAAGGGTATTCCAGCACCTCCTAATCCAAAGGGCACGTCTCCCATAGGAGATATCCACTGCCTGGATATTCCAAACACCTAATTTAGGCCTAAACATCTCTGACTGGCCTATAAAGCTCCCCTACCTTATTTAAATCTTGATATAGTGCCTGCTACATTTAGTAAGAGTCTTTTCATTCATCCCTAAGGGTTTCTTCCTACAGGTCCCAATATGTGGTCACCTATCTTGCTTTATATTGAAGAGTAAAGGCCAGTGCAGGCCACTTAATGCCCTCCTGAGCAGCTGGCAGAGAGAAGAAGGCAAAATGACTAAGGCAGAATGGCAAGCAAGCACTGCAAATTCAGCCTGCAATCTCTTAAATCAGAGCTGGCTACTTCTAAAAGTACAATTAAATAGAGAAAAAAAAAATGTATGCATGCACATGAGTAATGGAGTAAGGCACCATGAAAAACTCTCAGGCTAAGCCCATGTTCATAAGAAAGGCTGAAGTGATCCCAGTAGGTGACAGTATAGAGATCTATAAACCTAAATTTAGGTGCCTATTATTGATAGCTGATGGATAAATTCAAACTGGAAACGTTGGTTAAGCAGCAGCTTCATCGAAGCAGCTTCCTAGATTGTGGTTCAACTCCTGCCAACTTTTGTGTTCAGCTTTTATCAAGTTGAACCCTGAGGTAAACTTAACTTCCATGAAACCAGTGCCTTTTAATGCTGTCTTGCTCTTCCTGAAGTCGTCCTTTAAATCAAGAGCTGTTTAATTTCTAGAAAACATGGTGTAGCTGAGCAGGGTGTTAAAAGCAGATGAAACACTGCTCTGACACAAGGCTCAGTGGTTCCTTTTGGTTTTCATGACTACATCAAAATCTGGATGTAGGGTGCCAAAAGCACATGAACAGAAAATGTGATCATGGAGACATGAGAATCAGGTGTTCAGAGCAAGGATTCTCTTCTTTCTGGCTCCAGAATAAAACGTGGTGAACAATAGTACGTAGTAGAGAGAAAAGAGAGGATCCAGTAAGAGGCATTGCAATGAACCGTCTTTTTTTTTCCCTTGAATTTTACCAAAGGTTCAGAACATCAACATGGAAAACACTGTTGATGTCAAGATAGAAACCAAGGGGGAAAGAAAGCCAAAAAGGCAGAATCCACTAAACAAAGCTGGGAAGAGGGTCTGCAGAGCTGTTGGGTACATCACTGGAGACATGAAGGAATTTGGAGCCTGGCTAAAAGGTAAAGCTACTTCATCATGACTAATTGGGGGATTTCAAAGAAGAATTACACCGAAAGAGTAATAACTATCTTCTCAGTAACAGGATACAAGTTGGAGTTACTCAGAATCTCTCTCTGCCCTGATTTACTCCCATACTGTAGGGGGAAAAAAATCAGCTTTGTGCAGAGATCCACACACTGCTTAAATCTTGAGCATGACTGAGATGACATTTACCTCCCAACATGCCATGTACAAAGTGCATTTAGTCCCACAGAACACAGCCTGGGATGGTTGTTCTGTGCTCTGCCATTATTCATAATGCTCCCTGTCCTTTCAGCTGAGCAGTTTCTGTCAAGCCTAAATGCCACCATGAAGTTAAATTACATAGAGGTGAGTGGGTTCGGTCCTCACAATAAATCAGCAGTGGGATATACACACGATTTGCCATCTGAGGCACAGACACCATAAATTAGCTGGTTCATATGAAACCAGTCCCAGGTACTTTATAACAGGGGACTCTGGCAACTGCACTGTTCATCTCAGCTTTCTAGCTGTAAGACTGCAGTACAGACCATAATAAATCCCAGTCAGGTTTTACAGGCTTGTTGATTCATTGCTTCGGTTGTGCTGCCAAGTTCCACTGCCAAAACTCTTCCTGAGTTTCAATAAAGCCATCCCAAATTGGTATCATATGCCTGTTTCGGGGTTAGGAGATTTTTTTATTATTGTTTAATTTGATCTCTTCCAGATAAACCTCTCATGATCCAGTTTATTGACTGGGTGCTGCGTGGGATATCCCAGGTGATGTTTGTCAACAATCCCCTCAGTGGGCTTATCGTGGTTGCTGGCTTCTTGGTGCAGAACCCGTGGTGGACACTCACAGGCTGTCTGGGAACAGTTGTCTCAACCTTAACAGCACTTATGTTGGGTCAGGAGAGGTAAGTCCATCCTCATCCCCTTCAAAACCAAACTATCACTCCAGTGCTGACTTACATTTTAAAAATTTACATGGATGAAAAAGATCTATCTAGCCTTCAGTAGCTATGGATCTGGTCTGGTAGGACCATATAGATCTTCCCATCAGCTGCATCTAGTGGATGCAACGTAGCTGCTGAAGGGGTGGTTGCCAAGAGGACACGGGACCTTCAAGCACGTGAAACTGAAGGTCGGTGCATGAGGCTTTGCAGGTCCATCATCACACACAGACACAACTGCACGAGGAGGGAGGGGGTGATGTGAGCAAAGCACCCTCAGGGGAGGAGACTTTAAGACAGATGTTTCCTTCACACAGATCAGCCATAGCAGCAGGCCTGTACAGCTATAACGGGGTCTTGGTGGGATTGCTCATGGCCGTCTTCTCTGCTAAGGGAGACTACCACTGGTGGCTTCTACTGCCGGTAGCACTGGTGTCCATGACCTGGTAAGTTGGATGTCTCCTCTGCATCTTACCCCAGCCCCAGTGTCCCCACACTGCAACAGAGCTGTTGTATTTTTATGCACTATGCAGACCCAAATGGAAAAGAAACACAACTGGCACATGTGTACTACTAAATCTGAATCATAATTTGCACTTTTAAACTTGAGTGTAATGTGGAAACAAATGAAATATCCTCGTAAGCACAAATAAACCCATTGGGGAAAAGGAAAATCGATGGCTGATTATGTGCAACTCAGTGCCCTAAATGTTAGCCATATTGCTTTGATGAGTCAATTCATTTGTGTTTCAAGAGGAACGGCATTTTCACCATTCCCTACCACCATCAACCACAAGTGTTTCATCTATTTAAGCCACCACATAAAAATGTCATGAAAATTTACTTCTCCAGGCTGTTCATTGGTCCCAAGACATGATGACTGATGCTAATGAAAACAAACAACTGATAATATTTTATTCTTATATATGACACCATTATCTGCTAGGTAGTTGAACAGCAAAACAGCTGGTCTTTGCCCCCAAAATTGGTGATTGCTAAACTACACGTATCAGCTATCTGCCCGGAGTTCATGTGGTGTAATACTCACTTTAATAAGCATACCTTTGATACCAGCCTTTACTCCTAATGACCCTGATCTGTAAGCCTGAACAAGGACACGCAGCCTTCTTCACAGTTCTCAGTCCCAACGTGCATGTCCTAAATTCAATCCACTTCAAGTACTAAAAGAAAAAAGTAAACATTGAGACTGGGAAGTAACTGCATTAAATCACTGGATCCTCCACATGAATGGAGGATCTTGGCTCCTTCATGGTCACCAGTTTCATCGCATATATTGCATAACATGGCAGGAATATGTATGTTACTAACTGCCCTGGGAGGGGTGGGGAATATACCAAGTGACTCTAGCATATCTCTGATTTTATCAGAAAGACTGAAGAAATTAAAAAGCTTTTTTTTTAAAAAAAAAAAAAACAGAGTGAATTTCCTGCAGGTTTTTTTTTTGTTGGTGTGGGTGTTTTACCCTAGCTAACAAGCTCGTAGTGAGACCATTTTGTTCTTCTTTCAGCCCGGTTTTCACCAGTGCCTTAGGCTCAGTCTTCTGTAAGTGGGACCTCCCTGTATTCACCTTGCCTTTCAACTTGGCCTTGACCCTCTATCTGGCTGCATCAGGACCTCATAACCTCTTCTTCCCTACAAGTGTCATTCAGTCTGCAACAGCAACACCAAACATCACCTGGACAGATGCTGAGCTGCCAATGGTAGGATGTCCTGAAGATAACAACCTTCTCAATTTACAAAGAAAACCCTATAGAATTGTATTATCTTCCTTTCTGTTGCTGCGTTATGGCCTGGCAGTACAAAATTGCATTTATAAGAAATGTAAAGGTTTAGTCTAGGAATTGACATTTTTGATAGCTTGAAAATAAGACTCTTTTCAGTATCTGGCATTTTTCATTTACAGCTGGATCTGAATTATAACCTTCAAAGAGCCCCTAGAATCCAATTACCCATTACTGTGTGAATAACTGACCAGCACCCCACAGATAAGGTTGTGCTGAGAGAACCATGTTAACTCATAGGTTTCTTTGTAGAGAGAGCTGTGTTTTTAGAATTGCATCTTTCTAATTAGAAATAAGCAAGCAGATATGACTATGGAAGGATAGCTACAAACTTGGGTGCAGGCATATGTTTGCATATTTTTAGTTAATATTCAAGTGAGACCTTTAAAAGAAAAAATAAAATTTGTTCTCTTGTATAGCATAGTAAATAACACAGATACCGCACTATAAGCTATTCCCTAAGGCTCAGTGGGCTTTTGAGGGGAGTGACTAAGAGAAGTTAGTTGACACTAAATAGCAATCCATATAAGTGACATTTCTCAAAGAATGTTTAGCATGGCACATAAATTTATGGGGACCATAAACGGGCTGTTCTAAGAGGACGCACACAAAATTTTGAGGAAAAATGTTTCAAAACTATCCCTACGCCACAACCAAGTTGGGGTCTGTCCCACCAACTCTCCTAGTGAATCCCAAGGGAGTTTCAGGTGTGTAAGTAGAACAGGGATATAGCCTTACCTAAGTAAAACCTTGTAGTTCTGGCCCAGCCATTATTGGCCATTTTATCCCCAGATCTGCCCACCCAGACACAAACATCTTCTCAAAAGCATCACCTACCTCATCGTTTCCATTTCCCAGATTCACTGCCACGTTCCAGCATGTAAAAACAAGCAAGTTGGCAGCACATGTAAAGATGATGAGCAAACCCTTCCAATTACTTCCACAAAAGGCATTTACCTTTGATATTAGAGCAAAAACCTGGCAGAGTTGCTTAGGGCTAGGAAACGTGGTGTGACTCATTTTCATCAAAGGGGAAACCCTGTGGAAATGCCCTGCTGTCTCTTGAGAAGTGCCCAAACTTTCCACTTGGAGTCCAGAAAGAGAGACTGGCCCTAGTACAAATCTGGCCAAGAAAAATGTTGGGGTTTGTTGGGTTTTTTTACTAAAAAAAAAAAAAACAGAGAGAGAAAGAGAAAGAGAAAGAGAAAGAGAAAGAGAAAGAGAAAGAGAAAGAGAAAGAGAAAGAGAAAGAGAAAGAGAAAGAGAAAGAGAAAGAGAAAGAGAAAGAGAAAGAGAGAAAGAGAGAAAGAGAGAAAGAGAGAGAGAGAGAAAGAGAGAGAGAGAAAAAGGAAAAGGAAAATAAAAAGGAAAAGAAAAAGAAAAAGAAAAAGGAAAAGAAAAAGAAAAAGGAAAAGGAAAAGGAAAAGGAAAAGGAAAAGAAAAAGGAAAAGAAAAAGAAAAAGAAAAAGAAAAAGAAAAAGAAAAAGAAAAAGAAAAAGAAAAAGAAAAAGAAAAAGAAAAAAAGAAAAAGAAAAAAAAGAAAAATAAAAAGAAAAAGAAAAAAAGAAATTACAAATCTACTAAAAAGTTGTCTTTCTCTTTTCTAATTCATGCAGCTCCTGCAATCCATTCCTGTTGGAGTAGGTCAGGTTTATGGCTGTGATAACCCCTGGACCGGGGGAATTTTCCTGATTGCTTTATTTATCTCTTCTCCACTCATTTGTCTGCACGCAGCCATTGGATCAGCAGTGGGGATGCTGGCAGGTAAGGCTTTGATTTGTGTCCCAGATTGATATAAAAGCAAGGAGAATAAAAGAGGAACTGCAACATCTAGAGCATTTACGGTCACAAATGTTACTCCCATTAGAGAATAACTGCCTGAAAAAAAATACATATATACACTTCTCGTTTAAGAATTCTTCTGATCAACATCCCCATTCTCTCACCTCATTTTATGGTGGTGGAAATCTTCAGAAGCATGAAGCATATATTTGCCCGAAATGAATTTTTATCATGAAATACTTCATTTCTGGCTACATTCTGATGGATTTAGGAGCAGCTTAATAAAAGTCATAACCACCCCTCTGAATGTGCAGGCCTTGGGGATGCACTGAAGGTTTACATCTATGCTTGTTCACTCATACACCTTCTTCTGAAATCGCATGGCTGAATTGAGCTCAGCAGCACCAGGGAAATTCTGTTGGGATTGCATTCAGTTGAAGAGGTTTTAGTCTTTGACCATAGCATCACGACTACAAACAGGAACTCTGTGTACATACAGTGGGCTAGAGCCCTTAAAAAGCTGGATTCATCCCATTTCTCAGCTTCTTTTTCCCTCTTTGGGCCAAGGAATGACACCTCTTTGACTTATTTTCCAGCACTTAGCTTAGCCACGCCTTTTAGCAAAATCTACTCCGGCTTGTGGGGCTACAACAGCTCCCTCTCGTGCGTCGCGATCGGAGGCATGTTCTACGCTTTCACCTGGCAGACACATCTGCTGGCAGTCGCCTGTGGTACGTACCCCATGGCTTTTTCTCCACCACCACGTTTCCTTGGGACATGAAACAAGATGCATTCACACTGAACTTTGAGCAAAACAGAGCTCAGGATCAGTCTGTAGGCAGTACAGTTTCCTCAGTCTATTGAAATAGATACTAAAGGCATGAGCCAGATGACATGGAATGATTGAGGAATTATTTATAAGGCAATTCCATATGAAATTTCAATATCACCATGAGCTGGGAGCGAAACTATTGCTCATTCAGCACTCGTATGAGAAAAATTCAGCTTTGTATCTCATTGACCCACCTTCTAACCTTAGAGGCAGGAGAGATGGGGGTGGAAAGGTTATCTTCCTATTTAACCCCATCCATCAAGCCCCATACTTTCCACGTCAGTGCATTTTTCAAAAGCCTTTGTTTCCAGAGCCACATTTTTCACCACTCTAGGTAGATTTTGGGGGTTTTTTCTGTTGTTTTGCCTCTCCCATGAGCTCCAAGTTGGAGGGGACACAGTGTAAAGGAAAGAGCATTAAGAGGGGGCTGCCCAGGCACAGTCATAAACATCGGATGAGGTACCCAAGGCAGTGTGAGGGATGTCTGACCTTGCTGGCCTCCTCCATAAGCAACTGAACTCACCAGGAACCACTTTTCTTTCTCATAGCTCTCTTCAGTGCCTACGTGGGAGCAGCAGTGACTAACATGTTGTCTGTGGTAAGAAGCACATCAGCAAAAGTCTTTTTTTTCCCTGAAGACAAGTTTCCACACTTTGCATTTTCCCACCTTGTGAGGCAGAACAATTCAGCCAAAGGCAGAACTGGTCTAGGAGAGGGAACACAGCCTGCCCAGGCGGTTGGTGTGGTTGCTGCTGAAACAAGCCACTTGCAATCATCATCACTTCTCATCCTCAGAGGCTGCATGAGCTTCCACAGCTCAGCCCTCAACAGTTCTGAGATAATACAGAAAACGAGGATGACCTTTTGAGCAGGGCCTGTTGTGACAGGACAAGAGATAATGGTTTTCTTACTAAAAGAGGGGAGACATTAGATATAAGGAAGAATTTTTTTACAGTGAGGGTGGCGAAACTCTGACACAGGTTGCCCAGAGAGGTGGTGGAGGCTCCATCCCTGGAGACATCCCACGTCAGGCTGAACGGGGCTTTGAGCAACCTGGTCTAGTGGAAGATGTCCCTGCTCACTGCAGCGGGGCTCACTAGACAACTTCTAGAGGTCCTTTCCAGGCCAAAAGACTCTATGATTCTATGAATTATATGTCTATGCTTCATGCTTGAAAGAGTTGAGAAAAGAGCCCTCTCTACAAGAAACCTCAAATTTGGTTCAGCTGCTTTTCCCAAGGGCCAAAAAGCAGTTAGTACAACAGCCCAGGGAAAAGCTGAATGCCCCCGGTTTCCACTCCTGTTTCATCTCCACCCAAGACCACTGCAGATGCACAGAGAGAAGGCCACCTTCTCACCAGAGCTGCAGGTTAATGCACAGTGTCAAGATTTCATGGAGAAATCCTGCCTCCTCAGGGAGAGGCTCCTTCCTGAGGAAGCTTGTACCAAGCTGCCTGGCCCTGGGTTTTGTTCAAGGGCTAGGGGATCAAATGAAAGAAAAGCATGTAATAAACAGGTGGTTTGTATTCTTCTTTGCAGTTTGGGGTGCCATCGGGAACCTGGTCTTTTTGCTTGTCTGCACTGACCTTCCTGCTAATAACTACAAATAATTCTGCCATCTACAAGCTGCCACTCTCCAAAGTCACCTACCCGGAGGCGAACCGGGCTTATTATCTCAAGATGAAGAAACACCAGAGGTCTTGCTGTGAGGTATAAAGACCCAAGAAGAGAGACACTTTGCAGATTTTACAGCAAGTATGAAAAGTATTTCCTCCTCAAAAAAAAAAAAAAAAAAAGTGATTTGTGTGTTACAAAGTCAAAAGACCAAAAAAATCACCACCTTCTGAGTGGAAAGACTTTCCCCACAACATTCATTTGTTCTATTCTGATTAGACAGGACTGTGCTGTGCTGGAAGGACCTTTCCCAAGACCAATCTCTAATGATTTAACAGCACATACACCTGAAAAGACATTTGAATTTTAAGCAGTGGGGAAATGACTTAGAAGCTGTTAAAAGAAAAATGTTTGTGAAATCAAAATCAGCAATTGGATGTGAAGCAATAAGGGCCAGAGCATCTCTCAGCATCTGATGGGACTCCCAATTAATGGCTAAAACAAATTTATGGCGCCAGTAGGATACATCTTAGAGAGCCTCATAGTAGCACAGAAGTGGAATAAAGAGTACCTTTTGCTAAGTAGAAAACAGATGGTGACGAATTCTACCTGGAGGACCTCTCAAGCCTCAAGGAGGTAGATGTGCATTAGCAATCATCACACACAAGATGGACACAGGTAAATTGCAGGCAGTGTTGCTAACAATTGCAAGACTTGTGGTAAGAATTACAGTAACTGCAAGGAGGATGTGTGTATCAGCTCAGCTTTTGGATGTTTTAGTTTGCACTAAGCTCTAACATTTCATGAAAGAAAAATATTTCAGGCCTACCAAGTCACAGAGAAAAGTCTGTAAACCCAAGGCCAAGAAAGGAAAAGCCAGTGAAAAGAATATTTTTCTACAAAAAATCAGTAAGTTTCACAATTCTATGTTAATCTCACAATTTTTCTTAATACTAGAACTTGGTCATGGGTTAGCAAAGGAGGGGACAGCAGCAAAGTCACTGCTGTACTTTTCCTACGCAATAAAATGATTCTGTTTGGTCTGTGCACAAGTAGAACTGATTTGAGCTGATCTCGACCTCTCTCCCTACCCTGTCCCCCTCAGGCCAACAAATATCATAGAATGGCCTAGGCTGGAAGGGACCTTAGAGATCAATTTAATCCAGCCGCCTGTCGACTAGATCAGGCAACACATGGTGACAAAACAGCAATTGAACCCATGACCTCGGCATTGTTGGCACCATGCTCAACCAACTGAGCTAACCGGCCCCCTTGTATCAACCAGCAAAAAAACTGTACTGTCCCATCCTGCTGCTGAAGTGGCTGCTCTGCCATTTCTCTCTGCCCTGCAATGGGAAGGGGATGGTTGGGGGACAAGTGGACGTAGCAGAACTCTGCAGAAGACCAGCCTTGTGCCACCTCTGCACAGGCTCCCGGGGTCTGCAGGTTGGGAAGGAGGAAGCTGACCTTGCACCCAACAGTGCTGGTCATCTCAGTGAGTGTGAACTCAGCCCCCTCATCGAGATACTTCACCTCATGATGAAGCTAACATCTTCACCACAAATACTCCACAGGCTCAGATCCTTCAGTTGGCACTAGCCGACATGCAATAATGTCATAGAATGGTTTGGGTTGGAAGGGTCCTTTAAAGTTCATCTAGTCCAAACCCCTTAGGTGAGCAGAGACGTCTTTAACTGGATCATGTTGTTGCTCCTGAGAAAATATATCAAAACCTGTTCCTCTTGTAGCATAAGAAATAAAACTTAGCCTGTGTATAGTGCTACTGATGATTTTTGAGGTTGGGGGGGGGGGAATAAAAAAGCAACATGTCTATTTACAAACATCAAAAAAGATCCAAGTGAAAAATATCTGGGATGAACTGCTGGCAGTATTTGCTGGTGAAGTGTTAGGTTTTCAGATGTTTGACAGTATTTCTGTATGACTGACACTCCAGAGATCACTTGTTAAAACGCACTATTTCCTGTGCTTTATTTGGTAAATATCTATATAATATTGCATTGAGCTGATTTTTAAAACAAATATTCATATTTTTTTGAGTTTGGTATAAGTTGTCCTCTATTTATTGCCACTAAGCTCTTCCAGAGACAGGTTATCTCTTAAACAAGTTGTCTGGGGGATGTTGGAAAATGATGAAAACACTGTACGGGGGATATTTAGGAAACTTCTAGCTTCTGCTCTTTGTACTTATGGCATTTTGCTGCATCAATAACTTATTAAACATGCAAGGGCAAAGTCTGCTTCTGTACAGGAGGCAGGATCAGCTGAAGGCAGAGTGCTGTGCCTGCAGAGCTACAGGCAGAGCTGGAAACCTCCTGGAGACAAGATGAGGACTCGTTCCCAGGGGAGATGCTGGACAGGCCCACAGATTGGGGCTAGATGAGCTACACACTTTATGACCAGTCTAAAATCAGTAGATTTCTTCCGACTGGTGCTATTTCAGGTTGCTGTTGCTGAGCAACAGGGACATCTTGGCAGTACCGTAAGAAAACCATATGCATCGAACAGAAAAACAAGATGAAGGCTGTGTCTCAGCTATTAGAAAGATCTTGCATGTCATTCAGAATTAATTTGGCACTTTACACTATCCAGAGAATTCATTCTCCCCATCACCCCATGCAAAATAACAGTAATTTGGTAATTTGACATGTATATCATTCAGAATAATCATATCATGCTTTTTCCCATTATCTTTCCTAACATAGTCTTTGCTAACAGAACTAATTTATCTTATTATTGAAACTGTTCTCTTTTTTTTTCTTTACATCAAATAAATGCTGTTCAAGCCACACTTTTTTCAAGCACTGTTCTTGCATTCCTGTTTCTGGCACACAGGTGATTTCAGACTGATAAGAAACATTTGTGCTGGGCAGAAGTTTCGGGGTGCTTTCCTGGACTATCTTCCTCCCAGTGCCAGTATAACATAGCAAACAATATATCATTGTGTTTAACATTTCTAATAAATAGATAAATTATTATTAATAACAGAAAAATTCACAACACCAAACCACTAAAAAACACTTCCCCTTCCCCAGCAAACCAGTACCTGGGCAAGTGGTTTCCAAGGTAATTAGTTTCCCAGGCATAGAAATGGGAAGTGTTTAAACAGGAGTTGGAAGCTTTAATATTTCGTAGATCTGGACCAGAAGATTTGGGCTTATGCCTCCAAAGGCCACATCCACGCTGGGAAATGTAAAAGATGAAGTGCTGGCACACAGACATCCATCCTGCTCAACTGAGCATACACACTCTGGTACAATCATAGAATTGCTTAGGTTAGAAAAAACCTTTAAGATTGAGTCCAGCCGTTAACCCAGCGCTGCCAAGCCCACCACTAAACCATATCCCTAAGCACCACGTCTACACTTTCTTTTAAATAGTAAAGTTGTCCTTGGTACAGACCACAGGAGACAGCAGCCATTGAAAGCGGAGTAGAAAGAACAAATATAAAGAAGGAGAGGGAACAACGAGTAACTTTGCAAGCTGGCGGTTCTGGGCATCACCCAGAGGTATCGCTGAAGAAGCGACACCAGCAAAAACCAGAAAAAAGGAAGGCTGAAAGGGCAAACATGTGACAGAGGAGCCCGTGTTGCTTCACGTGCTTCACGGCAAGAGTCTCGGAGACTGGGGCAATGAGACCCAGTCTGTGGCCAGGTGAAATCCTGCCCACAAAACCAGTCTGACAAACCACCCCAGGGAGCGACACCGCTACAAAACTGGCCCTAAGCGTGGAGCGTGTTCAGAGGGATTCCTTACAGCAAATTCAAACGCTAGAGAGGACCAAAAAAATCAGCTGGGTGATCAAACAGCAGCACCCGTGTGGGAGAAGATGGCTCTGCTGCACTGGTGACATCAGAGCAATCGCTTCCACCTTCAGGCACAGTGAGGTCAATGAGATTTTATTCTTTTTCTTTTTGAGTAAAATAAAACTACATGTGCACATGACCGCAAAATTGGGAGTTCAAGCACAAACACTTTCTAGGAAAAAAAAAATAAATCCGTGTTTTCTCTTCTTTTGCCTCCTGCGAAAATAATGATGGGAACCATGGGCTTGTAAAACTGACAAACTACAAATCCTCTCGCTTTAGATTAAAAGTACTTGGATGGGTCATCAGTTTAAGCAAATACAGCTGAGATCAGTGGGAGGTTAAGGATCACACTTGCTAATTAGTGTGATTAAAGAAATAATACTAGGAAAAGCGTGCCCCTGGCATGGCACACTGGGAACGAAAAGAAGGCATTTTTTCAAGTGGAATTTTCCAGCAGACAGTCCTGATGCCATAAAGCATCAATAAAACACATTATGGTGTATGTTTTTGGTGTGGGGAGGATGTGATTCTCCACAAGAAAGTCAGCCCTGCGCTGCTGCACAAAGGATCTACTACAGGTGAAGGCACTACTCACAGCACTGCTCTGCACCGTCTAAGCTCCTGTACCACATAGACACACCAAAGCGTAGGACAACCCAGCAGTGGATGGTCTCCTAACAATTTTTTTAATCATTCCAAAACAAATTAAATGAAGGGAATTAAGGGTTACATTGCTATTTTTGAACTTTCTTTTCTATTATTTCTAATAACCTTGTGCCGCCTTTCCTTTACACATTTGCTGTTTATGAGACACAGAAAGAGTAGGCTCTTTAAAAAGATAATAAAACTTGAAAACGACTTCTAAGAAACAAATAGGGAAGTTATAAACTGATGTGAGTAGAAGTAATCATCCTGGTCCCAACAAGGAAATTCACTTTCATGCACAGGGTCAATCATATGTGCAGGGCAAGACAATTATACGTCTAGAAATAAGAACAGGGAAGAGCAGATACATCCCTAGATTTCAGAAAAATAAATGGTTCGGCACACCAGTGAGCTAGAAATTTGACAGCCTGTCTATCACTAAGGATCTGTGCAGAAAGCTCTAGGGTTTATACTGAAAAAAAAATTAAAATTAGGATGGCAACGAGACTTTGTACTGACCAGCCTGCACAAGAATCCAACATGCATGGCTCTGACTACACACGTACTGGGAAAACCCTCCACAGTTTTCTTTCTCATCTTAGATGTGACACTTGGGGACGAGGTTCAGTGGTGGACCTAGCAGGCTGCTTTCCTCTACTCACATGACAG